ACAAATGACAAATTCTACGCAATTCAAAAAACAAAATGGTACATAAATAATTGATATGATGTTCCATTGACAATTTTGAATCAAAATACACTCCCAGATTTTTTGCTTGATTAGTAAAATAGAGTTTTTTCGTTTTAAGTACAAATATGAACAATGTCTACAGGGATATGGCTTTTCTTTGGGTTACATAAAAGAATTTCAGTTTTATTTTCATTAAGCTGGAGCTTATTATCAACCATCCACGTTTTGACGTCATTAACGCACAGACCCATGGTAGTAAGCAAGGTTTTAACATCTGATGGTGAAACAGATTTATATAACTATGTATCGTCTGCGTACATGTATATAATTCAAATTGTGCTTTCTGATCACAGCTCCAAGCGGCTGTGTATAAAACGTATACAAGATTGGACCCAATACTGAAATTTGAGGCACTCCAAAGTCTAGCTTAAAAATTGACGAAAGAGAGTCGTGCACAACCACATATTGTACCAACTGAGCTAACGGTGCGCCCCTGACCGTATTCCACAGATCAAAAGCACATGACAATATGTATCATCAAATGCCAAAATGTACCGGGTTCCCACTGTAACTGTATACGACACATGTCATGTATGGAGTAATTAATTAGCATTCGCTGTTTTGACTAGTCACACGACTGCTTCTACAAAATCAAACTTTTTCATAAATATGGACTAGTTAATGTGATGCGCGTCCGCATAATCTGAATATACGCATCACTCTGGTGCAAAAAGTCTAGAGTAAAGAGGCCAGTGTCTCCAATGAAAATGTATTTCGTTCTCCTAAAACTACAGCTACAACATAATCGATCAATGAAGACTGGGGATTCCAATTTTGATAAACGTTTGTACTTTATTGTCTACCTTGGTTTTCCGTGCTACGTTTTACATAGAGAGATAGAATGCACATCACTAGAACTGATGACGAAATACACGACATAAATGGTGGATAAAGCGCTTCCGCTTAAAAGAATTCAAATTGGTTGATGCTTCCATTATTACAGGGCGAGTTCTTCATCTTCTCGGGCAAAACATTGCGAATATTATACTCTTGTGTCGATGTCTATCTTGTAAGTTATAGAAAAGCCACTTTCCATTTAAATTGTCTACTCTTGTCTGTCTCAGAATTTCTCTGGGCATGGCTGTGCTTGGTACTTCATAATCCATATCGTTTCGCAGAGACTTTGGCGTACACCTCTTCCTCATTTATTGTGGGTGCACTTCCATGCTTTGAAGGTGGTAGCTGTTAGTAGACTAGGGTAAATAAGCACGGTGAAGCCATATTTGACTACACTGGGCAACAAAATTGATCTTTTTTTCTGCGGCATGAAGTTTCAGACTTCATATACAGTAATTAGAGGTCGCTGAAACCAAAAATGGCATCCGTATACGTCAAGTGTTTTTCTCTGTGGCGTAACCACTGTTTTTGCGGTATACAATATCGAATTAGCTGTAATAATAATAAATGGCAACTTTATTCAGAGTAAGAAACGGCTCCACTCCCCCGAAAATACAGGCATCAAAATCCATGCTTTTTTCATAATAATATTAGGAATGGGTACAACATTATGAATGAGTAATTTACTTTACTTTTTCATCCCCATGTTGCCGTTAAGCTTCGAGGGGAGGTGCAGTTTTCTGTGGTAGGCCAGCTCCGCAGCTCTTTCAATTGTGATATTTTGTTTTCTCAGGGTTTCATTGGCACCCTCGATCCACCTTTTGCGTGGCATTCCTCTTACTTTATAGCCTGAGTGCTTGGTGTTGTAGGCTCTCGAGGCTGGTTGGCCAGGTGACATACGTAAAACCATTTTATTTTTTGTTTTTCTATATAATGCAGGCAGGACTAAATGCCGATAGCTGCTCTTACTTCTTCATTTCTCTGCCTGTATCGTCTTGTGTTGTTAAGGGTTTTGCTGGAGATTTCATTTCGCATGCGGTGATTTTGCTTTCATTGATTTTATTTAGTGTCCAGTTCTGGCACTGGTAGCATAATGTTGATATGAATATTAATGTGATAAGCTGTCTCTTTGTGTCCATGGAGATGTTTGGGTGAGAATTAGTATATGTACTTAATTTGAAAGCGATGTATTCGAGACAGAAACTTTCTTTTGCGGAATTGACACACACTTCAGACTTGTCTTCGAGCTGTCTTAGAAAATGCTCCACCCAATCGGATCGTAGTCAGATACGTCCAATGCACGGAACAAACCTGGTATGTCATGACAGAAGACAACGTCCTTGTCTGTTGCAAAGTACTGTGGTAGTTCCTCTTCTGTACTGTGATAACGCTATCGTTACATCGTTTTTTAAACAGTTTTTTCTTCTTTCGGCCTTGAAGCTAAAAATTCTGATAAACCGTTATCAAATAACTAAATTCTAGTTAACTAAAACTAAAACAATTGGGATTTGAAGTCGATTTGTGTGAAAATTGTGCTTTCCGCCCTTATGCTTCTACACTACTTTTACAAAATCTCTAAACTCTGTTACTACGACGAAAAGCAGTCTCTACAGACAATCTAATACTATTGCATAATTTTTGGGGTTATTCTTTTGAAAAGATTGAAGGTTAAAACGAATAATGGTTTAGATTTCATATTTTTTGCAGGACACATATGAAGAAATAGATCTAGATCTAGATGTGTTTAATTACGTCTATGCACAGAAACGTACACAGATACCGCGGTCTTGATCTGAGAATTTAACAAGTTCTGTTTTCTCTTTCCACCTAGGTGCAACAGACGGTGACAGATCCTTGCTTGTTTTCAAGTCTTCATGATGAAATCTTTAACAAGTTTTACACACGAGGTGCCTCATCCAGAAAATGTTGTGTGGGCGCCTCCCGCATACGATGAGCAGCACCATTTGTTTTTTTCGCACGGGACCGTCTTGATTGGTATCGTCGGGTCGTTGATCATTACTGTGGCAGTGGTAGGGAATGTTCTTGTCTGCTTGGCAATTTTCACAGAGCCTATTCTCTCCCACAGCAAAAGCAACTTTTTTATCGTGTCCCTGGCAGTTGCTGACCTACTGCTCGCTCTCCTGGTCATGACGTTTGCTTTAGTCAACGACCTGTACGGTTACTGGTTGTTTGGAGAAACCTTCTGCTTCATCTGGATGTCTGCAGACGTCATGTGCGAAACTGCGTCCATCTTCAGTATCTGTGTCATTAGTTACGATCGCCTGATGCAAGTGCAGAAGCCACTACATTATGAGGAGTTCATGACTACTACTCGGGCTCTTTTGATTATTGCTTGTTTGTGGATTTGTTCATTTGTCGTGTCTTTTGTACCAATATTTCTGGAGTGGCATGAGCTCTCTGTGGAAGAAATCAAGGCCATTTTCAAGGATAACAAAGCAGAAAAGGGAAAAGCCCTCGAAGCACACACTTTTTCGTCTGCGCATAACCAAACGTTGGGAGTTAACAAAAAGTCGAACAGAAAACCGGAGTGCCTTTTTGATGTACATTTCACCTATTCGGTCATCTATTCCTTTATTTGTTTCTACATCCCGTGCACCTTAATGCTGACAAATTACTTACGCCTGTTCTTAATTGCCAAAACGCACCAGGCCCGGATCCGGAGCCTCCAAATGACCATCCCTCCACAGCTTAGAGGTCAAGGGGCGAGCTCCTACCGGAACCAGGGAACACAAGGCAGTAAAGCAGCCCGGACTCTCACGATCATCACAGGAACTTTCCTGGCGTGCTGGTTGCCTTTCTTTATCATCAACCCAATTGCCGCAGCAGATGAACACCTCATCCCACTGGAATGTTTCATGGTGACCATTTGGCTCGGTTATTTCAATTCCTGCGTCAATCCTATCATCTATGGGACGTCCAACTCCAAATTCCGAGCAGCTTTCAAACGACTTTTGCGCTGTCGTTCAGTAAAGTCAGTTGTAGGCAGCATCTCTCCTGTTTCCCCGGCGTATCGGGCATTTTCGTGGATACGTCCCAGCCGCTTAGACCTGTCCTCAAGTGAACACCCTAGTGACGCCTGTGATACAGGACGCGGTAAAAATAGTAAGGGAGGTGATTACGCCACTACTGACCCTACAAAGCCCGATGTCAGCGTCAGCGAAGAGATAATTTATGCTGGGACTAAGGTGTTCGAAAGCGATACAGCCTTCTCCTCATAAAGCCATTTCTTTTGAAGTAAGCCTGGTCTGTGAAGTATTATTTGTTTTGATACGTGTTTTACGGCACCCGCAATTGCATACGCTCATGGGAGTGCTTGGGCCATATTAAACATTTTCAGTTTGGTAGGAATTTTGAATTTTTGCCCGGGTGGTGACCGAAGCCTCCTCGTGTCGATTTTAAGACCACCAAGGGATCTCTAACGTGTGCAACTTGTACATTGGACCTCAATCATTTTTCGCCCTTATCCGAGAAGGCAAGGTGTTAGATCTTTACCTACCAGAAGATCAGGGGTGTGGCTGAAAGACAGCAGTAAGAAGGAGCAAAGGAGTAGCAATAGAAGGAGAGCAGAAATAGTCAGGAGCATAGACGAGTGGATAAATTGGAGAGGGAGGG